GGGCAGGAATGCTCGAAGGGAGCTTGCATATTGTCTAGGACAGGCTTATATTTCTTCTTTCAACATGCAAGATGGGGTGTGATTGAACCAGAGTTTATACTCTTATCCAATGATATGGAAGTACATTAACTTGGAGCAATGCCTTCTCTATAGCGAAACCCCAGAATGGCAGTAATTCTGTGTTTCCTCCAATGCTATCATACCTAGGTGTTTTGAGTCTTAAAATGCTAAACTAGTTTAAATTTGGCTCAGAGAACTTGCAGTCCCCCCAGTAGTCTGCACTGACTGTATCACCTAGGGATAATGGTACTTGTAGTCCAACAACATCTGAATGGCAACATGTTCCCTATTCCATGATGTATGCTGATGAGTTTTCTAATTCTCAGTATTATGGTTTTTCTGTTGCTGATTAATTTTTACATTATGTTGCTTTTATTGTTTAATGTACAGTGTGTACATTAAATGTACAGAATGACCTTTAGCAGGAGTGTTCTGGATTGCCTTGAGCAAGGAGTGGTATAGGGATATTTTGAAATAAATAAATAAATAAATGGGTAAAAGGCTTTTTCCAAAAGTAAACTAGCAGAATAGCTTTGAAACCACCAGAACGAAACATTTGCTACTGTGATTATTCAGCTACCGCAATCACAATTTTTTCGAATAGGAACTGTATTCTTTGGCACTACAAAAATGAAGAAAGATCTATTCTGTCTTCCCCTAGGGATCAAGCTTAAGCCTTTGGAGTGTCTGCTCTGAAAATAGCATCTGTACTAATGTGTCTGCTTGTATACCTGCAAAGCTGTATATCATAGCATTCTTAACATAGCAAGCATTCATTTCTCTAATCTGTGCATGGTATTGTAGTGCATGCCGTTAACTTCTGTAGAAGATGGGAGCTTCTGGTCATGCCGCTGATCGCATTTGCAAGAGATGTGATGGAGCTCCTTTTTTTTTGCTGCCTTTCTAGTTGCTGATAGTCCAACTCCTCCCCCTCCCCCTCCTCCTGATGAGATGCCCATGTTTGATGACTCCCCACCACCTCCACCTCCACCACCTGTGGATTATGAAGATGAGGAGGCTGCAGTTGTGCAGTATAATGATCCTTATGCAGATGGTGATCCGGCTTGGGCACCTAAGAACTATATTGAGAAAGGTAAGTGGCCACTACATTTCTGGGGAGAAAAACCCACCTATCTATCCACTTAACAGAGCTTCTATACTTAAAAATAAGCGCTTTGAGTCAAACCTCACCTATTCCAGTCTCACTGTTGAATCATACTGGGTTTCCTTCCTCCTCTCACATGCCTGGCATCCCTACTCCCACTCTACAAAACAGGAAACAATTCTGGCCAGTTTTGAATAAGTTTACACTAAGATGCCAGCTGGTGTCAACACTACTGCAAGTCTTTGAGCTTGCGTGATCTTTCTTCTCCCTGATGGGTTTAGAAAATAGATGGGCATGAACTGGAAAAAAAGACAAATCAGGCTGGTTTATGGTTGATGGTTAGCCATGGACTCCCAGAAAAATGAACTGGTTTGTGGTTTGTTTTTCCGGTTGGTGCCTGGGGTGGGAGAGGGAACCTAGCTGCTCCTACCCTCCACCACCCTGTCACCCACTTCCCATTGCCCCTGTCGCCTCCCTATTTGGTCCTCCTGCTGCCTCCTTACCCTCCACTGCGGCCATCCATGAGCCAGGCCTGCTGCTTCTGCACATGCGCCTGCCATCCTGCTGATAGGCCGGTGCATGCATCCCCTTTTGCTGAACAAAACAACGTGCCGAGGGGAAGAAAATTCAGTGCTTTCTTTTGTTTCAGAAAAACAGGACCCCTTAACTGGTTTGCGAAACAGCCCACAAACCAGCCTGATTCATCTTAATATTCTGGTTCATGATTTGGTTTGTGCTCATAATTTAGAAGTGACCACTTTTAGTTAACCACAGCTTACTTGCAACGTTGTTTGAACCCAGATTGTTTGAATCACTGTTGTGATTAACAGTGGTTAGTTTTAAATGACTCTGCTTAAAAAATAAAATGCTCTTTGAAATTATTTGGTGTTAAACATCATCAATGTTAATCATAGTTCACCAATCCAGATAATGCAAAAGGTGTGGTTAAAGAGAAGAAGTAAAAGTTCCTAATCATCTCCCATCAGCCACGTTGGGAAGGGGAATGCAGAAGCCTGAGCCTGGTTTATCTGTCTCACACTGTATATTAAGGCTGGGCAGCTGCAGCTGCTCCAAAGTTACTGGAATGCAGTTTCTTGCAGTAATTCCCAGTGATTCCCATAGCCAATAGTGAGAGGCCATGAGCATTGTAACTCACTTTATACAGTAATTAAAGTTGCAAGGGAAGTTCTGGAATCATTGAATGAGCAACGCAGCCTCCAAAGCTGCTTGCAAAATTAATTTGGCTCTCTCTGTTTATTTCTCAGTCGTTGCCATATATGACTACACAAAGGACAAGGATGATGAGCTGTCATTTATGGAGGGTGCAATCATTTATGTTATAAAGAAGAATGACGATGGCTGGTATGAAGGTGTTTGCAACAGAGTGACCGGCCTGTTTCCTGGAAACTATGTTGAATCAATCATGCACTATGCAGATTAAATGCTGTCTTCAGGTCAGGTCTTGTATTCAATCATGCCATAATTATTTACAAAGGGTAACTTAAAGGTTAACACTTGTCTTAATACTCTTTTAAAATGTGCCCATCCTTTCAGGCCATACTGTTTAAATGGTATGATTGAATGTCCATCTGTATGCATTTGTCTCTTCAGAGTTTGTAAAATGAGCAACTGTTTATTACTGATTATGCTTATTTACTTAATGTTGATTTTTATGACCAGCTGAAATATTCTGGGGAAGTAGGGTATATAATATTTAATGACTCATGATTCAAATTGTGCCATTACTTTTTATTTTTTTCAGTGCAGCATGATAAACTAACAACTATGTTAGACTAACGTTAAATCTGGTTGAAAAGTTTGATAGTGCTGGTCATCTACCTTTGTTTAGACTCCTGCTCATTCTCAAAAGTATAGTATTTGTTTAAAAGCATGCATACGAACTTATGTATTGAATTATACTTTCCTCCCCCCCCAAAAAAAATCCAAGATGCTTCCAATTTGTTGTAATCTTTTACCTGGAGTACTCTTTCACTAAAAGTCCATTCCAATGAGTCAATTGAGTCTCTGAGGTGTCCGTGTGAATCAAAGATGGGTGGTCTTATGTGTATGTAATTTGTACCTGAGTTTTTTATGAGTAAATTTGCATTGACTTTTCCATTCATAAATACATAAGTGAACCAAAGGTCTTGTCCATTACTTTTCTTGGCTTGCCTTGCATAGCAATATTAAAGCATTGGCATTCCCCCCCATGTCAGCAGGGATGCTGTTTGATTGCAAGTCCAGAACATAACATCCTACTAAAGGAAAATCAAGTTTCTGCAAGCTTTGTGTGTGTGTGTATAAAATTGCACAACTCTTTAGCTCTGCTCCTTATGACAGGAAACAATTTGATATGGAGACTATTACCCATGACTCTTGGGGTTGTTACTGTCATAAAGAGTGAGAGTACAATGATAATAGGCATCTGGGGAGGGATGTGGAGTTTGGAAAGTAAAGAGAGGTCTTACCTGTGGAAAACTGCAGGGTTGTCTTCTCCTGTCTTTTTCAGACACTGATCTGAGGCTGTATGTGCAGTAGAAATTGGTGTCTCTTCCTGCCCCACCATATGTGATCAGAGCCTTCCAAACCTGATAGTGCTCACCTAGCATGAGATGGGAAAATGATATCTAGCTATGGATTTTTGCAACCACAGCTGCCGTGCCCAACAATCAGTTATGGACCAATTTCCCATAATAGCCTTTTAGTCTAGTAGGGTTGGCTGCTTTGGCGAATGGTTACAAAATGACACCAGTGGCCCTGGTTACAAGGCCATGTGTACTTCAGGGAACACTTTCTAACCTATAAGATTCTCTAAAGCAGTGGTTCTCAGCTTTGGGTCCCTAAATGTTTTGAGAGTAAAACTCCCAGAAGCCTTCACCACTAGCTGCGCTGGCCGGGATTTCTGGGATATGTAGTCCAAGAACATCTTGGGGACACAAAGTTGGGAGCTACTGCTCTAATGCATGGTTTGTGTGAACAATCACAAGTGGCTTTTCTGTCAAACAGCTCATGCAAGCCTTGTTCTGTTTAACTGCAAAGGTCTCGTGTCCTGCTGAAAGTAAAATTTCATCATTCAAGGGATTTGCTACTGATTTGTCCACATCACTGTATCAAGTAGGTTGCTACAAAAGAAAACCTTGTCCGTAAATACAGAGCGTGTGGGTTCAGCTGGAGAGAAGTACCACCAGAGAAATGAAGATGATGCCCCTGCATCCTATTTGGAAGGAGCCATTCTCAGCTCCTGTAGGGAGGGACACAAGCCACCAGGGCCTCTTTTGTTCTCACTGGAAGGTGTATGCGTTCATACCTAGAGTGTGAGCAGAAGGTCATGTTAACATTTCTGGTTTCTTTATGCAAAACTTGCATTACTTCGGTTCTCTGAAGCTGACCATGATTTAATAAGGGATGTATTTCTGTATGTAGTAAAAGGTTTGGGCATAAGCACTGTCCTACTGGGGATTAAAACCTTTAAATGATGAAAAAAGCAGGTGTGCTGGATGTATGAGAGAAGTTATTTTCTAATGTGATATTAAATATTGAAGAACCCCCTTACCTTAAATGAACCTAATTACATTAAATGCTTCTTTTGCCTTTTCCTAATTGTTAACATATTGTTTCTGAGAATAATTAGCAACCCATAAAAATCTCTGTATTCCCTTTATAAATTGGAACATCTCTTAATTTGTATATAGCCTGTTTAATTACAAAAATTATGTACAGTCTTTTATAATAAACCAGTCTCCTTAAAATTTCTGGGTACTCTGAAATTCTAATAGGCAACTAAATCACTCAAGGTATTTGTTATATTTCCATGACACACAAGGGTTCGCAGAAGTGATTTTTTTCAACACATTGATTGTATTTATTATTCTTTGTGGCCTTCGGTGTCAATATTGAACAATGTAAACAGTGCCCACATGAAACAAGAACCCTCCTTGTTAAAAATCCACAGGCACAAGGCCTTGCTATCAGCTTAACAGACTGATCTCGTTTTCATTATTTTGTATGGCTTCCTTCAATAAAACATTTTTACTTCATAAATCCTAGTTATATTTCTTTCAGTGAAGATAACTTTTTTTAAAAAGTTGGTAGTTGTACTGGAAGCAAGCCACGTTGTTCTGCCAATGTACTTTGAGGCACAGTCTGGTAAAAATAGCTGCCAAAGTAAGTGGAAGGCTTGTCATTTTTCTCGGGATAGGATGATTTCCGCCAACTGCACGAGTGCATCTCTTTCAGGGGATGGTCTAAGCTTGCTGATCTCTCGCATTGCTTCATGGCAGTACCGCTGGGCAAGGTAAATTGTTTGTTGTATACCTCCACTCTTAAAACAAACAAACAAAAAAGGTAGAGAATTTTAAAAGTAGATCTACTAATAGCCATATAAGCCCCTTTGGTCAGTTTTTTCCACATTCCCCATTTTAAGGTCACAGTCCCTATATATGGAGTACAAAAGTTTAGCACAACAAATTACAACATTTTCCAGGTCTGTTTTATTAAATGTCCATTACGTTTAACAAACACACACACACCGTATTTGCCGGCATATAAGACAACTGGCCATATAAGACGACCCCCGCAACATTTCCACTCAAAATATAAAGTGGACGGCTCTGCTGCAGTGCTGGCGGCGGCTGCCCAGGGCCCGCCCTGGAAGTTCATGGCCATGTATTTATTTGGTGCATAGATAGATAGAGAGAGTCCGCCCTGGAAGTTAATGGCCATGTGTTTATTTGGTGCATAGATAGATAGAGAGAGAGAGCTGGGAATGGAGGTGAATGAGTAAAAGACGGAAGGAAACAGACGGAAGGAGGGGAAGCGGCTGGGTGGGCGGTGGAGGAGGAGGGGAAGCGGCTGTCCGGTGGCGGGCTCTGGCCACTCAGGCATTGCCGGCACTGCTTCCCTCCCTTCTTCTGGACAGACTGCCTTCCTGCCCGCCTGCCTTCCTCCCCGACCAGCGCCTTCCTGCCTTCCTCCCCGACCAGCGTGTCCCTGCGTCACTCACTCAACGGCGGCGGCTCCTTCCTGGCCCAACTGGAGTGTACCTGGCGTATAAGACGACCACCCCCTTTGGAGGCATGTTTTTTGGGCCAAAAAAGTCATCTTATACATCGGCAATCAATCAATCAATCTCTCTCATATATATATGTATATATATGTATATGTATGTATATGTATATATAAGAACTGTAAGGCTATGAACGGATATCAGATAAACCAAGATGAAATTCGATCAAGTACTGCACTGAATATTAGTGTTCAGTTCTGCAAATTCATGTAAAAGACCTAGCTGTGTTTACACTAGTTGTGTTTTACCTGTAAGACACACTCCTGGGCACGTTGAACGTCTCCTGGCAAACTGAATCGCCTCATTATCATGGCATTGACTTCTGGAAACTGAATGAGATGGATAAAATAACATGAATTTCCTCCAAAAAAACACAAAACAACAAAAAAGAACTTTCACGGACTTAGTAGCCAACAGTAGATGAAACAAAACTGTACTATATATTCTAGTATAACATTTTGTTCTATGAACCTAGAAAATTGTCCTTTCAGCACATTGCTGCTCGATATCATTTAATCATAACATCCCCTCAAGTCCTCAATATTGCAAGGGTGTTCTTAACAAACATGTTAATTTGGAAGCAGATTAAGTTAAATGAAATCAATACTTTTGTAAAAAAAAATTAGATAACTTGAATGTAGCTTAATATATCTGTATTTTTTACATCCTGAAGATGGATCATAGTGTGTTTAGAACATAAACCTCTTTACCAGATAAGAGGGCACTTATCCGGTAAAGATGCAACTGGCATCTCAAATTAGATGAACTACTGGATGAACCAGGCAGGCAATTATAGTAAAATAAGTCTTTATTTCCTGGGATTCTGACAAACTCAAGCTGTTTCAAATCCACCCATTACCACCTTAGAGGACATGTTATCCTGAATATTTGTGACTTAAGCCAGTGCAATAAATTTATAACTGATGGTAGCAAGAGGAATTCAGAGTTACTCGTTTGTTAGTTTCTGCATGTAATTAGAAAAAGATCTGTGTATGTTGCCCTCACTTTGTTTTTCCACCTGACCAGGCTTGTTTTTATTTTGGTCAAGGCATTTCACAAATTGCTGAAATTCCTGAACTGCTGAACTCACTTTTAAAACAAGTCCTTAAAACACAGCACAGCAGTCTACCTCAGACAGCAGTAGTTTTTAACTTGAGGAGAACACACACTCTCTATGGCAAACCTACCTGCTGACAAGCAAATAAAACAGGGCCAGTGGCAATTCCAAGCTTAAGATCAGCTGATGTTGGCTTCCCCAACAGCTTAGAACATGATGAAAAATCCAGGACATCATCTATCAGCTGCAAATGAATCAACAGCCAATTTTATAGGAATAGCACACTCAAGGCGTTTTATTAATTACAAAGGTTCAATTCACAACTACAGGATATTTATTTCCCTGTTCACCAATAAATGGTGTTTTCCAGCATATCTTATCGGTGTCCTTATATTACCTGAAATGCTATCCCAATATTTTTTCCATATTGGTATGCAATCTCATGAACATTTGGATCAGGGCAGCCTAAAACAGAAACCTGAAAGGGAAACATACAAGAGAACGCCTTGTTAGTACCCACTCTTCACGAACGTAATACATTAGCAGTCAACAACTGACAGGAAAGGCAGACTGCTTTAGCTGCATTCCTCCCACTGCGTCTTTGCTAGACCCATTTAAAACACACACACACTCAACGTATCTGCAGCATTAAATATATATATATATAAGCTCTGAATATAGATTGGCCCTATTAAAAATTTATTATGGCCACAATGCAGAGACTTGAACTGAAGACAAGAAGATGCAGAACGATGACTGCAAACGGGCTGCCCATGACTAACATAATGAGAATTGGATTTGTTTGTGGGTAGATATAGGAAACTGGGAAGCAAAAGATGGCGTTCTTCACGGGCTCAACATTGCAACTATGATCCTGGCTTTCACAGCCTGATTTCACGGATCAGTTAAGCCTGTTTCTTCATTTTACACAAGTCTGAAATTAGCACAGTAAAGAGTCTATCTGCTTCTGCAAAAGACACACAGTGGAAAGGTCGTGGCATACTGGTGATGGTCTCACTGGAACCTTTTGTGTAACTGTGATAAAGAGGTATTTTGTAATTTTTTTTCCCTGCAGCAGTCTGATTTTCTGATCACTGCTGTATCTCCGGAGACTGTTGATGCAGCTGGCCGGGGGCTCTATAGGTACTATTCAGATCCCTTCACTATGCTAAATGCCCTTGCCTTCCCAGAACACCCCCCCCCCACATTCTCATCCAAGTCATCATTTAACAGGTAGTTGCATCAATGAGTGTTGGTACAACGCAGGACTAGAATAGGCTAATTTTAAGGGAAATTAATCAGTGCAGGAGTGCTCTGCTACTGCTCCCAGACTCTAGAAAACTTCCTCCCACTGAAAGCCAGGTTGGCCTCACAGTTGCTGTCCTTCTGCAAGCAAGCAAACACCTTTCTCTTCAGGCAGGCTTTTCCTTAAGTGACTGACTGTCTAAGGATTATCTACCAGTTCATGCCTCACCAACTACGCCTGTGTGTTTGATTTAATTGTAGTAGAGACATACATACATGCACAGCTACTTAACCTGTAAAAATAGAAATCTATTCTGTCCATTATTATCCCACAACATATATTGTGATAATAATGGATAGAATAGATGTCTTCTATTTTTACAGGTTAAATAGCTGTGCATGTATGTATGTCTCTACTACAATTAAATCAAACACAGAGGCGTATCTAAGGGTAAAAACATGGAAACAAGCCGCTCAGTGGCAAGGGAAAAGGCAAAGTAGTATTAAAGTGTCCATTTTAAATCTATCAGAATTCTCGCAATATAATCAGTTAGATTTTTTACCAAAACAGACAGCAGAAAGTTACATTTTGGCTAGAAAACATGTATCAGCCCATTTCTATCTCTTTCAGCAGATCTCAGTGTTGACCAATGGTAGAGTTACCAAGGCGTTTTTTTAAAAAAGATCCCCAATTCTTCCTTACATTGTGACATTTTTGCTCTTTTTGAGCTCATCACACGTACAGGATGGGCTTACATGGTGTGTGCGTGCAAGAGAAGTAGGGAAAAAGTATGGGTCCCTAAAGAAAATCCCACAATCCGAAGTTTCCCACCCGACATAATAGCATATTAACAGGAAAGACGGAACGTACATACTGCTTTACAGCTGTTTGCTATAAGGCTTGCAGTCTTCTTGAAGGTTTTCTCGAGGTAGTGAGCAAATCTCTCATTTTCATTTTCTTTGGAACCCAGCTGAAGAAATTCACCTATAAAAGAGGACGAGGCCACTGATGTCATCAAATTAGTTGCCTAGACCAGGGTTCCCCAATCTTTTTGGGACTGCGGACTGGCTGAGCCTCTGAGGAAGGCGGGGCACCACCCCGCGCTTACTCTCGGGCGCATGCACGAAGCAGTGGTGCTCCCCCACCCCTTCAAGCATGTGCAGGAGTGCCTGCATGCCCGCCTACCCACCCCTTCATGTGGGGGGATGCGTGAAGGGGTGGGGGAGCACCCATGCCAGGGCTGGCATGCGTGTGCGTAAAGCAGCTGTGGGGAGGGGAGTCGCCTGCCCACCCCTTGATGTGGGGGCATGCGTGAAGGGGTGAGGGAGCACCCATGCCAGGGCTGGCATGCGCGTGTGTAAAGCAGCTGTGGGGAGGGGAGTGCGTCCAGGGGGCGGGTCTGTCTCCACGGCCCGGTCCAGCTCAGGCCACAGACTGGCACCGGGCTGCGGACTGGGGGTTGATGACCTCTGGTCTAGACAAAACAGTCCGGTTACTTTGGAGGTATGTTTTTAAAAGCCTTACCACGCACCAGATCCTCAAGCGCCTGTGTTAGTAGAGAAATAATGCTTGAATTCCCAATACGTGCTAAAGCTACAGATGCTGCCGAAAGAATGAAATCACCAGCTAGAACAGCCTAGAATAGAAAAAAAATTGCTTTAAAAAATAATTAGGCCTTTCTATAGCTGGAGTGCTTTATATTATTATCAAAATCATTCCCCACTCTCACCCTCTGGTTAACATAAAAAGCGGTGGGGGTGGGATCATTTTCATGCTAATTGTCTTTTCCTTTACATTTCTAAAGAGCATTTTCCCTCTCGTTTTACCCAAATATGTTTGCCAGAAGTATTAAAAAAACTGCTGGGAGATCAACTGTAGGTTTAAAAGTTCTCCTGAGATTAACCATTATCTCCTTCCTTTAAAAAAACTCAAGGAGAAGACTGAGGTTGAGTCAATCTGATCTGCCAAAACGAATTCATTTTTGTTAAATAGTGACAAGCCACTGGGTGTCCTCTGGAGGTTGGGATTACAACTCCCAGTCTCTCAGACCACTGGTGATGCTGCCAAGGACCTCTAAAGGATCTGCTTTCTGATTGGAGCCTGAGAGACTATGTTCTAGTACAGCTTCTTCTAGAGAGGAGCTAAACAGCTTTGCCTTGTGTTAAGGCTGGAGCCACACAAATGATTAGAAAAGCACATCTAAGAATGTGAGATTAAAAGGTGGGAAATATTTGTGGAACAAACTGATTACCTTATCAGTTTCTTTTCAGATCTTTTCCAGGGGTTCTAATCTTTTGCTAAACCTGCTCTACAGTCTAATTCAAAAGATCTCCAAGGGAACTGAGCCTACATGAATGAGCTCTAAACGCTTTAAGTAAAATACAACAGCCTTTCTTTCCTTTGTTTTGCTCCTTCTGTTAAACAAGCATACAGGCTTTTAAGGTACACACGTTATTACAGGTACAGTTGATTTCAGAGCAACTATAGAAGAGCTGAGCTGAACGATGCCTCTAATTTTTAGCTATACATAGGATAAGTTTGTTCAGTTCTGGGCCACACATGTGCAGTTCAAAATGCACAAACAAGTAGCAGAAAAGGACCCAATTACGGACACCACCTCAGCCTCTTGTCTTAAAGATATTATCTGCCCACTTTATCATCTTCCCTACAATCTGCTCACTTTATCATCTTCCAGCACTGCATAATCTCCCCAAGCTTCCCATGTGAATGTCATAGAATACAGTGGTGCCTTGACTTACGACCATACTCCGTTCCAGAAGATGGATGTAACTTGAAAAGGTCGTAAGTTAAAGCACCATTTCCCATAGGAATGCACTGGAACGGGATTAATCCGCTCCAGCAGGGGGAAAAATCACACACACTTACAAAACAAAAAACAAAAAAAAACAAACTCCACAGCCAGCCCCATCAGAACGTGATGGGGCTGAAAAACAAAGGAAAAAACAAAGGAAAAAGAAACACACACATACAGAGCCAGGCCCATCGGAACACGATGGGGCTGAAAAACAAAGCAAAAACGCACCCCCACACAAACAATACAGAAACATAATCCCCCCAAACCCAAACCCACCCTGCAAAACCCTGTAAATGTACTCACCCAGAAGCAGAAAGCAGCTCCAGGCAGTCCGAAGCCTCCTCCGACACACACATACTAACAGTTGGGGCGAAAGAGCTGCAAAGAAGCTCTCTGCCAACCGTTAGCCCTCTAATTTGAACTCCCCACCTTTTCCCCCTGCCTCTTTTGATCAGAAGCAGAAAGCAGCTCCAGGCAGTCCGAAGCCTCCTCCGACACACACATACTAACAGTTGGGGCGAAAGAGCTGCAAAGAAGCTCTTCGCCAACCAACTGTTAGCCTTCTAATTTGAACTCCCCGCCTTTTTCCCCTGCCTCTTTTGATCGCAACTCGAAGCTCCAGCCGCAAGTGGAAGCAAAATGTTGCGGCTGGAGCTGGTCGCAACTCAAAATGGTTGTATGTCGGGACGGTGGTAAGTCGAGGCACCACTGTACAAGTATTACTGCACCAGGAAAATACCCACCTTCCTCTCTCCCCAGATTTGATTAACGGTCATTTTTCCTCTTCGTGAATGTGCGGCATCAATTACATCATCATGAACTAGAGTAGCTGCATGGATCATTTCTACAATTACAGCTATAGAATGCTGGTTTGCTTGCATCTCTCTAGAATTGGAGCAGCGAAGTGAGAAACAAAGAGAAAAGTCACAAAATAAGAAAATATGTTTGGATAACAAATATCTATTGGACCTTAATTTGCCCGACACGCATGACAAGCAGTTTGGACTTCAGTGTCTTTACACACATCATTCAAAGACAACACAACTTGTCCTACAGAAAACCTCCCAACAGCCCAGGGTTTCAAACCAGGTCTCACCCAGCCTAAAACTCCAAACTCTGACAAGAGCATTCATGCATCTTCAACTGCCTGCCTTTCTGTCTTGCCACTTTCTGCGAGTCACTCACCTGGAATCTATCAGGGATATCCGATACAAGTCCAAACCTTTGGGCCTGAGTCCCAAGTCTTTTGCCTCCCTGCCCCCAAGGCTTGGGTCCAGTGCCCCAAGATTCGGACTATGCATGCGCTGCCCAGCAGATAGACCGGCACCTGCGCAGAGACAGCGAACCAACTTCCCTTCCTACAGCTGGCCCCAGAAATCCTGTCCAGCACAGCTAGTGGTGAAGACGTCTTGGAGTTTTAGTTCTGGGGATCCACGGCTGGGAATCAGTGATCTAAAGGATAACACGCTGACAGTAATGCTCTTATTATTTTACTGTTATTTTCGAAATGTTATTTTTAAGAGACTAATTATACAGAATTTTGACACCAGTGCTTTAAATTAGTATATTATTTCCCAGCTCTGAGATGGATCAATAGTCTAAATCCTATGTGTCAGCTTCCGAAGTTTCTGTGCCAGACAGCTATGCCTCTATCGTAGGGCTCATCCATCTGCATCAATCAAGTTCTGATTGTGTTCCTGCCAACCAAGTCTGGATGCTTCTAAACATAAACAGTATTTCTCAAGTTGGTGTTAAGCCAGAAACCCAAACACATGTTGACATCTCCTACCACTCCCAATAGTTCAAAACCTCTTTCAAAAGATTCTTGCTGACAGTCCAGTCCTGCTTCTTTCAATGCATGGAGAGGGGAAGAGTGAAAAGACCTGGATCTGAATTTTTTAAAATGTAGAAATCATACATATTTACCCAGAATTGTTATGATGAAAATTGCATGCTCTAGCCATTAGGACCACAATCACCGGCCGAAAAGCCTTCCCTTTGCCATCGAAGTAATATTCACACATTTCCTTCAGTTCTGTAGCAGATACCTGCAATTCCTGTAAACAAATTTAAAAAACAAAACAGCGATTCTAAATCTAAGTAGCACATCTACCAGTATAAGAGGATTAAATTTTAAAATCTCATTTGAAGAATGATCCAGTAAGTATACCTCACCTTTTTAATATCTTCATAGAGATTTTTCAAGTTTTTCCTTCCAAGTTGAAAAGGATCTTTGTGTTTTTCATCACTAACAACTTTACCGCAGCTGTGCGTTTGCACCGTTGTGTGATGAAATCTGGCAACAGTATTAATTGGAAGAATTTAAATAGTTAAAACACAAAGCTGGAATGAGTTCTCATGTTTTAAATACCATGAAAAATACTGTGATAGTCTAGCCATAGGGCACTATATGTTGTTGTATTAAGTAACTGAACACAAAAGGAAGAGAAGTCATACTCTCTTTCACCACAAGAACCAAAAACATCACTCTGTAGATTTTAGGTACCTTAGAACTAAGAAAATATAATCTTTTTGCTTGTTTGGACCTAGTATATTTAGTAAGAAAGGTCAACACTCTTTAAGGAAGCAACTGTTTTGCATGATAATCTATCAAACCTGGCATCGTATCGCTCTGTCCACTCTTCACAGTGTACAGGACAGAAACTTACAGCTCAACCTGTGTTCTGTTTAGTGAAACAAAGTTGGAAATTATTTCTCTGATTCTTCAGGCTTAAATGACTAACAGGTACATGTTCCAATTTCTTACTAGGTTACTATGTTCAGAAACAAGACCAGGAGCTAATCCAGCTTGCTTTAGAGAGATGAGTATCTCCATAAAGTGTACCTAACCAATGATAAAAAATCCAGATCAGCAATTTTAGGACAAAGTTAGAAATCAAACCAAAGTGATCTGAAATAGAATGCATGTGCTTAAACTACAAGGGCGAAAAACAGCTGTACTCTCTCTTACACACAAACACACACACACACACACATTTAAATACACACAATAGGCCACATGACAGGCCTTTATAAGTTCCCAGTTGCTTGCTCCAAAGTTAGTCTCAATTCTGGGTGACTGTGCTGATCTACAGGCTAGATTTTGGCTTTGGAGTATATACATTTTAGTAGTATGCAAGACAGTAAAAATCTTCAAAAATATTTGGCTGGCTCTTTTTTATAACACTCTTCAACTCACCGCCAAAATATGCTATGTGTTCTTGAAAAGGAAAAAGATAAACTTCCCCTTGGAAAATCAGATGTCTGCAAAGAGAAAAAAAGAAAACAGAAATGAGTGCATTTATCTAAAAATCATGTTTTGCACAACCATTTAATGCAACTTTGTGAACAGGGCTACAAATAGTCCTAACCTGCCTGTCCTTATTCACCTCTGTCAGTCAACTGTAGAATACTAACAGTCTAAAGATAACTTTGGGTAACCCAGGTGTTCTTGGACCACAACTTCCAGAAACCCCAGCCAGCACTGCTGGTGGTGAAGGCTTCTGGGAACTGCAGTCCAAGAACACCTGGGTCACTCAAGGCTGGGAATCACTGGTCTAAGACGTAAACAAAACAATGATTTTAAAAAGCTTCTTCTGCAAGCTAACATCACTTATCACAGACAAGTAGCTATTTAAAAAGAAAAAAACAAAAAGAAAAATGTCTTCATTCCCCAAGCAGGCCGGATGGGGTGGAACAGCAGGGTCTCTCAGGTCAAGTCCTCAAGCTTCAAGAGGTGTCAAATTTTGGCTGCTTTTCTGTGTCAAGCCAGTTCAGCGGAGTGGCAAGCAGCCTCAACATAAACATTGGTTTTGACCCTAAACAATGCCCTCCTTATCTAACAGCTTCACTGCTCTCAATTGCAAAGTCTGCTGCCAGTCACTGAGTTATTCATAGGTGGCAAGCCTGTTTTGTGAGAGCGGAACAGTTAACTGCCTAGCCCACACTTTGAAGATAGGAGGACAGATCCAAAGGTGGGGCGCTTCGAAATCTGAGAACTGACTGAGCCTGGCTGACACTCAGTGGATCTGCCCACAAGCTGCTTTCTGTTGTTTACAATCTACTTCCTTATTCTTTGTTCTTGAGCAAGTGTTATAAAAGGCATGGTTTTAAAAGTGTTGCAAAGAGGAATTATACAATTCCTTCCCTATTGCAACTATCTTAACTCTGTATCTCTTTTTTATTATGCAAGATCATTACTTTCAGCAGAGGAAACCAAAATAGGTTCAGGCTCTGAGGCTACCTAGAAATACATAACATCAAAAGCAAATAGCACAAAGCTCTGAGTCATAATCCCTCACCATCTGAAGTACAGCATTAATCCACCTGGGAAAGAATCTTCTCCATGGTGGCCCTGATGGTCCGGAGCCCCCTTCCAGGACCATTTCTCCACTCATCTGCTTCTGGTTTTCAGCAGTTAGCAGAGTCACTAACAGGGGCATCTAGGATTATGTCAGTCTAGAATGTTGGGAAAGTGTAAAGCCAAGAGGAGAAGGGGATGACAGAGGACAAGATGGTTGGACAGTATCACTGAAGCTATCAACATGAATGTGACCAAACTCCGGGAGGCAGTGGAAAACAGGAGGGCTTGGCATGCTCTGGTCCATGGGGTCACAAAGAGTCGGACATGACTTAACAAATAAACAATTCTGAGTCTGTCTGTCATTCTTACACTTTACTGCTGTTCACAGATTTAAGTGCATAGTTTTAATTATTACCTCTGGTTATTTTATACTCCTAGTTGCCTTGGAGTGCTTTTGCACAGAGGCTAAAAGGTAAGAGCCACGTTCCTGCATGCTCATGTTAAGTATTAATAAGCCCCAACATAAATCTACATCAGCCCTGAGAATCACAGGTTCCCCAGTGACCGAGGCAGGAAGATGGTCTCAGGAATAACCAATTCAGATTTTTGTACAAGATGCTAAAAACTCTCTCACATTCAGAAGATCAGTATCCTAAAATAACATTTCCTTCCGGTGTCAGTTTTATGTAGATTAATTTATACGAGTGCAATGCTGATGGAGAACTGTCGTTACATGCAAAACTTATTATAAAGCACACCAAACTAACCTAAGACTCATACTCTAGAAAAAAGACTGATGCAGAAGAGAAGGCATACTCTTAAGAGCATAAAAAGCTGCCTTGTTACAGACTTAAATTCGTACAACTTCCTACTCTGAATCTGGAATGCTTTTGCCCAGTTTCTGCTGATAGGTATATCAGTGGAATCAATTTTAGGTATAATCAGATCTACACAGGGTCCTATATACATTAGGTACGTCTCGTTTGGACTACTACAACAGACTATATATGAGCTGCCTTCAAAAATCACTTGAGGAAACTAGTTAGTACAGAATGCTGCTAGGTTTTTGACAACAGCAACAATCTGGCATCATGTGACTCCACTACTCTGCTAAGTACACTGATTTCCAGACCAGCTCAACATAATGGGTATTACCCACTACAGCCCAAAATTATTTGAAAGACAACTATTTAGGGGACAAACTTCACATCCTCCCATTTGAACCTGCTTGCGCTTTCAGATCAGCTATTGCACCTCTCTTTCACATGCCACTGCGTACTGAGGTATGGCTGGCAGTAACATATGAGACAATTTTCTCTCTGGAACTTCCTAACCCAAGAAGGGAGGTCATCTCCCTCTCTAGCTCTATTTGCTTGCAATTTAATTTAACCAGGCTGTCTTTTGCTGTCAAATTTTAATCAACTGAACATTCACTTCAGCTCTTTGTATTTCTGCCTTGATGCCAATTTTACTAAGTTAGTTATCATTTCTACACTTTCTAATAAAAGCCACCAGGATGGTATACAACACATCAAAATAATCAAGGAGTCTACACAAAAACAATATCAGCAACCAGTGAAGTGTAAATGTGATCTCCATACAGTACACTGGCCAGCAGCCCAGCAAACACATTTAGCTTCAGCTGAAGTTTCTGGATGTTCTTCAAAGTTAAGCAGATCATATTCCAACTATCTAAACATAATGAAACCTAGGCATGAATACTTCTGTTGTCAAAACAGAGCATTTCTGGACAGGTTGTAGCTGGTGGATTAAGCCTAGTTGTGATGACAGCATTTATTGTCGCTGTCATTTACCTGAAGATCCAAAACAGTATAGGCTAGGATCAAAGTAGGTCCCAAGACAGTGATCTTATGTTTCTGGGGTAACACGTAGAATCACAATTCCAAGCTGGACTTTCTACTGAACTTCTGTTTCCCTTGGACTCAACATCAGCTTTTTCATCCTCATCCTGCCCATTACAGAACTCAAGCAATGTTCAAGGCTCCTGAACATTTCCCTTGGAAAGGAGCAACACAGCTGTATGTTACTAGCACAACTCTCCCAGTCACTCCATATAGATAACAAACACAAGTACAGTACTGCCTTGTAGGACACAAGTCAAAGGCCATGGTGTCAGACAATATGCCTCTAGCACCACCTTCTGGACTGACAGCACCAGAACCACTGTAATATGGTAACCTCAGAGCCCAGAAGAACATGTTTGCACAATTGTATCAATAGCCACCAAGAGACCCAACAGAAGTAATAGAGTTACTTCTGCATCACGTTTCTGGTGTGGGCCATCCACTAAAGTAACCAGACCAATTTCAATCCTATACAGGGGACCCTTGACTTACGGAATTAATCCGTATTGGAACAGTGGCTGCAGGTCAAAAAGTCTGTAGGTCAAGTCTCCATTGACCTACAGTGCATTGAAAACCGATTAATCCCGTAACAGGCCGTTTTTGTTCCATTTTGGTTTTTTTTCTGGTCTGTAAGTCAATTCTCAGGCTGCAAGTCAAACCTAAATTTTGCGGCCAGAGAAGTCTGTAACTCAAAAAGTCTGTAAGTCAAGCTGTCTGTAAGTCAAGGGTCCACTGTATTCTGCCCTGAAGGTCCAACTAAAATTGACTTAAATTATCACAACTGTTCTATAGATGTAACTGGAATTGCAGTGTAATTTATCTTCTTAACTATTCTGACCAACAGTTTCCCAAATCCACTCGGTCAAAGGAATGCTTCTCTGGTAAAGGTTTTATTACTTTCTCCTCTAAGCCAACCATTCCCAATCTTTTGCTTTTCCCAATCTTTTTCGCCGCAGCCCCACCCTGGTTGAGAATGCCTGCAAGCAAAAGAGAGCAACCTGCTCCCACAGAGAGTTATTTTAACTATGGCATCAGACAAGGCTTGTTTCTATGGTAAAGGTTTTATTACTTTCTTCTCTAAGCCAACCATTCCCAATCTTTTGTCATTTATCACCGCCGCCGCCGCAGCCCCACCCTGGTTGAGAATGCCTGCAAGCAAAAGAGAGCAACCTGCTCCCACAGAGAGTTATTTTAACTATGGCATCAGACAAGGCTTGGTTGCTTTAATGAAGTAAGAAGGGCAAAACTCCAGTAACTAGGTGGTAGCCCTTGTTGTTCCAGACACCCTGGCCATATAGTTACAATCTGCAAGTCCAAAAGAAGACAAAACAACTGGGCAAACCAGTTGCTAATATTATCTCTGTGTAACCCATTCCAATAATGTAATTCAAAGCAAAGTAGAACCCACAGGGCAAACTCTTAGCAAATCTTCGACCATTTAAAGCGGCCCATCAACAGTACATTTCCAAAATGATTATTGTTTCTCCTTACTGAACCGAAAGCCTCTCGTAATTTTATGTAATAACCTCAAGCCCACGAGGGACGGGACGCCTCTCCCCGTTTGCTCTACCCACACACCCATCAGGGTTTTATAATCCTCGTCGGTTTCCCTTTCATAATCACCCCTTAATCCTTTCTCCTCCATTCCCAGTTAAAGAAAGAAGAAGAAGCTCCCGCGAGCTTCACCCTTCTCTCACCCAGAAGGCACATCCTCATTATCGGGGTCCCGCCAGTTTGGAAGCGAGGACCCTCTACCCCCCCCAAAAAAAGACCTTACTTCTCCTCACGCCGCTTCTTTCACAGTTTCCCCTCCCCGAACGGCGTCCCCCCCCCAAAAAAGGCGGCTGCTCCTTTCCACTCTACGGGCGCTCGTCACAACACGCGGCGGCGGCGGCGGCTCCGGCTCCCCATTCATTCCGCCATGACCTCCATTCGCCCGCCCGTCGGGGCTCCTCCACTCACCGCTTTCCACGCGAGCGCCGGCAACCTGGGGCCGCTGCTCGCCGAGCTCCAGCTCCTCCTCAGCGGGTCGGAGAGTGAGCGAGAGCAGGCACAGCAGCACCGGCGCCCCCACCACAGGGCCATAGCCGCGTCCTCTGCGCCCAGCCGGGGCCCCAACGCGGCCTCGCGTGCGCTCCCAAGGCCGTCCCGGGCGGGCCCCTCCTTAGGCCCAGCCTCGCTGCGTTCGACCCGGACGCGGAAACTAAGGCCGCAAGGCAAAGCGTGGAGGACGGGAGGCTCGCCTGCCTGCCTGCCTGCCTGCCTGGGCAATTGCTCCGGGGCGGCCAAGGAGGCTCTCGAGGTCAGGGAGGGAGTGGTTGGGTGTGGAGCAGGAAGAGGAGTCGCCTCCTCCTCCTCCTCCTTCCAGGGGTGCCTGTTAGCCGCGGGAGAAGCCGGGCTTAGAGGGGAGCAGAAATAGGACGCCTCTCCTCCCCACACTTAAATAAGGTATAAAGGCTAACTTCGTTTCCTAGAAGCCTTTAGAGTGGCCGCTTTTCTCTCTCGGCCCCAATTCATGCTCCACAGACAGACATTCTCCACACGAAGCTTTCTTCTCCCCTCTCCTCTGTTGCAAGGAAGGGCTTTAGCTCTTGCATTTCTGCAAAGCCCGGGGAGTTAGGCATGCATAGTAATAAGTAAAGTCTATATAACTATTCCTGGGCGTTTATAGGCATGCTGCTAGGTGTGCCTGCGTATTCCAAGTCAAGCCTGTTTCTGAACTTGGCAAACTGTACTTTGAGGTGTGTTGAATGGAGCTTAATCCGGTTTAAGCGGGTGCAGAGTTGCAGCTTTGAGAGGCAGGAGAAAGCTAGTTTTGAATGCCACGTCTCTCTTTTTCAAAGCCCCCATTTGTGGGACAAGTTTTGAAAATTGGTTCCCCGTTTTTGAAAATTCCACCACTGATGTGGCTCTCAGCTGACATATTGCTTTAGAGAGGATAATTTGAACCTGTGGAATAATACATTTCTATTCCATAAAAGCACATCTTAATTCGAAACATTCAGCATTTCCTTTGAAGCATTTGTTTTTTTAAATCACATTAACTCATTTCCCAAATAAGCAATTCTTAAAAATTTTGTGTGTGTGTGTGTGTGTGCGCGCGCGCGCTGGAAGGCGGTTCTCAAGTCAAAAAGTCTGTAGGTCAAGTCTCCATTGACCTACAGTGCATTGAAAACCGATTAATCCCGTAACAGGCCGTTTTTGTTCCATTTTGGTTTTTTCTGGTCTGTAAGTCAATTCTCAGGCTGCAAGTCAAACCTAAATTTTGCGGCCAGAGAAGTCTGTAACTCAAAAAGTCTGTAAGCCAAGCCGTCTGTAAGTCAAGGGTCCACTGTACTTCTAGATCCCGGGTATTGGTACCCCTCTGTTCTTTTTTGACAGGGGATGGAGTGGGCGAGGTCTGCACCTCCCTTTCTGTAGTTGGTGGAAGGCACAGCACTCCAGTGAGGGGCTTCTTTCCCTCGCTTCCCTCCTCACAGTCTTATATCAACAACAACAATAAAGAAGCTTCCACAGCCTGTTAAAGGGATGATCCTTAACCCCCAAGGACCTTAGTGATTATATTTTAACTTTTGCTGTTGGTGCCAGTCAAGCCTCTAAGAGGAGACCATTCCATAACAGAAGTGCTCTGTCCAAGAAAGCCATCCCCTATGTCTTCACATAGCAGATCCATGGTGGAACATGGAGACCTTATCAGCAGATCTTTGTGATTAGGCAGATGTATATAGGGAAGGGCGCTCCCTTGAGTACCCAGGTCCCAAGCCATTTAGGGCTCTATAGATTATCATCAACACCTTGAACTCAAACTGAAAGTATATTGGCAGCCAGTGCAATTTGTTCAGAACTGGAATCATATGGTCTCAGTCCTTGAAAGATCTTCTTGCTAGACATCTAGCTGCTGTTTATTGCATTTGCTACAGCATCTATGTCGCCTTCAAGTGCAGCCCAATGTAAAGTGCATTGCAGTAGTCTAACCAGGAGGTCACCAGTGCATGAACTGCTGTAAGGAGCTACGTTGTCCTACTATAGTTCCAACTATAGTAGACTTAATGAATTGATGTAATTTACATGATTGGTTCACTGGATCTACTATGTTTGGGACCAGCATTAGATTTAGGTGATTGTTCTCAAACAGTGATGGGTAACTGGTAGGTATCTTTCACTTTTAAGATTGACTGTGTTAGCTGGGACTGTGGGAATTGTAGTCCAGGCCGTCTGGAGGATACCAGCTTGTCAGTGCCTGCTTAGGAAATAAGACATTTATATCTTTTTCATTGATGGGTCTTCAAAACAGTTCACAATTCTTTGTCAAGTAAGATTAAATAATTCTCAGGATTATTTCTGGGTTGGCAGTGATATTTGGTAACTGAAGCCTTCCTTCTTGTGCCCTTGCAGCCTCCGTAGGTTCTCGACAATGAAACAGATTATACAGGAGTCATGAGACGTTTGCAACAGAAGCACTAAATGTGTAGTTTCTGGGAAATGGTCCTGGCTGATGTTGTCAGCTTTACGCAGCATAATTTATACAAACAAGATGCCTATGTGCGATAAGAAATTGAATCACTGTTTAATTTTTTAATTACAGACTAGAGTTTATAGATATGTTGCAATCAATGCATTAAATGTACATGCACATCTTACTAAGAGGGCAGGAAGACTCCCTGGAAAAGACGCTGATGTTGGGAAAGTGTGAAGGCAGGAGGAGAAGGGGACGACAGAGGATGAGATGGTTGGACAGTGTCATCGGAGCAACCAACATGAATTTGACCCAACTCCGGGAGGCAGTGGAAGACAGGAGCGCCTGGCATGCTCTGGTCCATGGGGTCACAAAGAGTCGGACACGACTAAACGACTAAACAATAACAGGAAGGCAAAACTAACCATTGGAGGGCTGGTCCTGTAGGTTAAAACTCAGTAATTTTAACTATCTCTTTACTTTTGGTTCCTTACAGAGCCTTCATTAAAAAGCCTTCACTATGTCAAGGTATTGTGTAGCACCTTGGTTGTTTACATCGTTAATACTGGTATGTCATTCTGGATGCTACCTGCTGGACTCAATAATTGCTGCAAGCAATTTTAACCATATGCACAATTACATTAATACATCAAACTTTGATCAAGACTATTGTGAAAGAAAAAAGAAACTGTCCACTTTGAATGGATGGAGACTTTCTACGCACAAATTCACAGGTACTTTAGAAATTGTTTTATGTAGTTTAAGGTTATGTAATATCTGAAACAGATCTAGAATATATTAAAATCAGAAAGAAATATGCCTGATGATTTGTTAGCTCAGGTCCACAGAAAGTTAACAATGCTTAATCCCATTCCTATAGCCTGATATTCCTATTAATGGGACTGGCTGTGTGTCCAGTTGATTTCACTAGGATTTAAGCATGGTTTGTCTTTCAGTTTGTGACTGCTTCTGGAGATGTTGATCTGACTTAACAGCCAAAAGTTATCCAAATGTTCTTGCCTGATGATTTGTTAGCTCAGGTCCACAGAAAGTTAACAATGCTTAATCCCATTCCTATAGCCTGATATTCCTATTAATGGGACTGGCTGTGTGTCCAGTTGATTTCACTAGGATTTAAGCATGGTTTGTCTTTCAGTTTGTGACTGCTTCTGGAGATGTTGATCTGACTTAACAGCCAAAAGTTATCCAAATGTTCTTTATCTGAAGAGAAGAGAAGGAAGCCTTCACTATGTCAAAGTATTGTGTAGCACCGTGGTTGTTTACTTCATTAATACTGATATGTCATTCTGGATGCTACCTCCTGGACTCAATAATTGCTGCAAGCAATTTTAACCATATGCACAATTACATTAATACATCAAACTTTGATCAAGACTATTGTGAAAGAAAAAAGAAACTGTCCACTTTGAATGGATGGAGACTTTCTACGCACAAATTCACAGGTACTTTAGAAATTGTTTTATGTAGTTTAAGGTTATGTAATATCTGAAACAGATCTAGAATATGTGAAAATCGGAAAGAAATATGCCAGATGATTTGATAGCTCAGGTT